TGTTTAGTTTCACTCACCTGTGTGTATTGAATGTAAAGCACTGAAGATGAAAACCTAATACATGATTACACAAGTGAGTATTTTTTACGAGTATAGCTGTACAAATGGAAAATCTGAGGGCTAATGGGAAGAGATACTATAAAAAAAGACTAAATTATTTTTAAGCATACAAAATTAATTAATAAAGAAAAGAATATAGACCGGTTAGCTTAGATATAGTCCTACATTCTAGGATCACATCTCTGTGAAGACTTAATTTGATAACACTCAATAAGTCTGAACAAACGGTTTAATGTAACAGCCACTGCTATATGAGACCTTGGGCAATTTTACAACAGCCATGGTTTGACAGAATATAAACGATACAGTCCATTCCTTTTAATAAAATAAGGATGGAAAGATCTGCTAATTTGGGAGTATTATCTCATTCAAAAAAGTAAATTAAAGTATAATTTTATTCTCTTAGAAGTGGAAGCTAGACCTTGACTTTTAATGAGCACAAGTTTTCTATTCATTGAGATAGATAATGTTTATTAGTCTTGGTGACAATATTCTTATCATTATGTTAAGTTTAATGAATGATAATATATCAAATGCATTAAAGAACATCATAATTGTTTTGTGCTCTGTAAGATTACAGTTTTATTATTTTTTACTTCTGAATAACTTCTTGTATATAGGTTGTGGCATGTTATTTTACAAGCCACGACTTTTTTAAGACCACCTTTGTAGCTAAGTGTAGCTAATACAGTTTAAACATATTTAACTAATCAAACTCTTTGCTTCACTGCTCCATTTTCAATCACTAGCCAGTTAACTAGGACACATGTCAAACTTGTCTGTGAACACAAGACCTTATGTACAATCAGTAAATCTACAACCTCACATGTGGAGTTTTTGGTTAAATTGTGGTTTAAAAACAACTTTTACCTGGATTGGAGATATTGAAAGTAAAAGAAACTAAAACTTGTCTGATCGTGACTAATAAAACAGTAAAGTATACCTGTGTACTATTTCTTGATAAGTGAAAGTTTCACTTGTGTAACTTTTTATTTATAGTAAACTTACTTTGAAGGTAAATTTATGTAGAACTTGTTTTGTATTTTTGAAACATGTTTCAGAAGAAAAGAATGTGAGTAAAAGTGCTATAATAACATTCACTGAACATTTTCAAAGTTGGTTATTTTAAAATTGAGCCAGTTTCAATAGCTCTAAAATATCCTTACATGACTTAAAAATGTATTATTATTTTTGGTTCTAAATTAGAAGTTTTCAGAAATAAAAAAATGTTTGGACGTATTTGTATATGAAGCTTTTTTTTATATTAAAAACAATACTACTAAACAAAGATCTTTATTTATTACACAAGAAAAACAAAGTAATTTGTAAGTTTTATAATGTACGTGATATTAATTTTATTTTTCATATCTATGAGTTATACTGTAATAGGCCTATTTTAGGTTTGAAAATTAGGATCTTTAACAAAAATTAAAGGCCTTAAAATTTTTTCAATTTAGATTTCTTAAAAAATACATTTCAGACTTTTTAATATTTTAAGGCATCATTTATTATAAAATCAAGAGGTTCAAATAAATTAGTATGGTTTTGTCTTTTACAAATCAGTTTATTGATTCTCAGAGTGATTTGTGCTGTTAGTTTTTCATTCTATATTCCTCAAACCAGTTTTTATATTATTGACTCCAAATCAACTATTGGGAAATTAGTTTAGCAATGACTGTTCGCATAAGGTATTCTGATTCAAAAACATTAACTGTTAATGACTGAAAAAGTTGAATATTAAAAATAACTAAGTAGAAATTTTAATTTTTGCAACTTTTTTTACATGAGAAATGTATGAGACTTTTTTTTTTTATAATCACCTAATGATAGTTATCAGAAAATGTCCATTATTTATTTATTAAACCAGACAGATCACATAGAAATTTAAAGGAATAGCACAGAAACTAACAGTTATTAAATGAAAAATACTTTACTACAGAAATCTTGGAAAGATAGTATTTATTTCTTTAAAATTCCTTACACGCTAAGAGAGTTAAGACACTCAAAGGATGATTTGCTTGCTAAATACTCGACTACTATCAAAGGCAGGAAGTCCATCACAACAGGAAGTGTCTGTGATCCTAGTGTCAAACTAAGCACTTGTACATATGAACAGCTACTATGAAAGAGCATTTTACAAATGAAAGCTTTGAATGCACTATTCAGGCTTTCACACAAAAAAATATTCAGCTTTGGAAAGACCTGTTTGTCTGTTATTAAAGCTCATTTGTTTTAACTAGCACTAACAAGTGTAACAATTATTTAGATGTGATGTTTCTGTCACTTTGACTGAATTAATATTAATACAGTATGAGAAGCTGTTTTTAAGTCAGGAAGAAGGGCTATAAAGGATCTCTGTAAACATTGTTTCAGCAAATGTTTGTTTTATTATATCATTAGGTGCAAGCTAAATTCAAAAATTATAGTTTATATGATAATTTCATTTGATAAAAAAGAGGAGAATAGTGTGTTAAAATGTAGCTGTAAAATAAAACAATTTTTGTCAGTGAACTCTGCAACTCACACGTATCCAGTCCAGTTGTTGATGTGGAGTATTATAAGTGGTTTTTGTCGCTTTTGATAATGCAAAAATAAAGTTAACTTCAAGTATTATTTGAATCATTTGATAACAAACTGTTTTGACTTTGCAGTCAGACTTCACAGAAAATTTACCCATTACTCGTGTAAAGTATGCAAATTAAGAAATAAAAAAGGTATATATTGTAAATTAAGAATGACATAAGTTTAAAGTTTGCACAATACAGTTTGGTGTTTAGACATTTTTTGACTGAAAGAAGGGAACCTATAAAAAAAAAATCATTTAAAGAAAGACGAAAAAAAAACATGATATTTGACAAATTTTCATATTTTGACTTATATTAATGTACCAGATATTTTTGCAGATGTTTGCAAGTATAAATCCCTCAATGGTTTGCACAATCATTCTTGAATTATTTCTAAATAAGACTGAATTTGACAGGTACTGATCAATGGATAAAAATCTTCATCTAATGCATTACTAAAGTGTTTAATTTCAGATACCGTTACCATCATTATCTAGATATTGAAGTGAGCAATAATGCCTGAAATTAACATTTTCATTTCAAAATATTCTTTATTATTATTTTCTCAAGGAAAGTGATGGACAATCTATGTGCCAAATTTATTTTATGTAAGCTGTGTAATAGATGGACAGGAATGAATATATAGCTCGTATGTTGGCTACAACTAGTCTTTATTGCATTCAGAAAATTGATATTTTTAGTTTTACAGTTGCAGATCTGTAAATATGTATTTGGCAATTTTAAAAAAAAGTGGAGATATGTTGAGCAAATGGGAAACTTAAAATACATTTAAGAAAATTCAGTGTTTTGAGTTAGATGTGTCATGTGAATTATTTCTGTTTGTAGTAGTTATTTCTTCATAAAGATTAAAATTGAAAAAAAATATCCCTGTTTATCCAGTTGTAAACGTGTATTACCTTGAAACTATATGTACTCTGTCTTTCAATAAGATTAAACAATAAAATTCAACAACTGAAAAATAGTTCATTTAGAATTTGAAACTCTTTCTTGAAGATTTTTTTGGTAGTTTTTTGGGGATTTAAAATGAGAACTAGTTAATATATTTCCCTGTAATATATATATATT